GTAGAAGTTCCCACTGTTATTGACAGGGGTCAACAACATAGGGATATTGTACCCACCCGGGTACGACATGGACATTCGACATAAGTTTCGTCTTGTCCATGTTCATTTTTAGACCCACCTGTTGGTAACTCTATTGAGGTCATCGAGCATGGTGCCAAGCCCTTCCAACGATACTGCCATGACCACGATATCGTCAGCAAATCGAAGGTGAGTGATGTACTCGCCATTGATGTTGATGCTGAGTCCTTTCCAGTTCAGTAACTTGAAGGCATCTTCCAATGCAGTGGTGAACAGTTTCGGAGAAATTACGTCTCCTTGTCGCACTCCTCTCTGCAATTGGATAGGCCTTGGGCACTGGTCCTGGAGTCGAACTGACATACTGGTGTTTCTATACGAACACTTCAACACTTCGATATATCGATAGTCAATGTGGCACCGTTGTAGAGATTGTAGCACCATCCTAATCTCGATTGAATCAAAGGCTTTCTCATAGTCCACAAACGCTAAGCATAATGGCAGGGTATACTCCTCGGTCTTCTGTATAACCTGCCGCAGCGTGTGGATGTGGTCTAACGGTACTGAAGCCCTTTCGGAAACCTGCTTGTTCGGGGAGCTGGACTACACTTTGGATTGTATTTATTGTCATCCATTTATTGGTACGTCAATGGGCAATCTCCTCTGGCAAATACAAGGAAAATAGTACCACTGTTACACTACACACTATATTGGAAAAAGAAATTCACTACATCCAGTCTAGCCAAGAGCGGAATTACATTTTTCATATACATGATTAACCAGTACATAATACTTATCGACACCGTCACGTCGATAACTTTCCGTATATTCATGAGAATCGATTTATTTTTTAGGCCTATTCTGTGTACGGACATGACATGTCTGTGTATTTGTAAAAATATGCTAGTGTTGTAGACTTTTGTTTGTGTGAAACCATAGTGATACAATTAAATTTTGAATTTGAGTGCACCTGTTTGCTTGTAGTACTACCCCCACGCGCCTCAAAAAGTGGCAGAAAGTTGTGTTCAAGAAGTAACGCTAATAGCGTCTCCCGTCCTATATGCTCTAAGGATGTGAACTTCGATCCACGTGTTCGTTTCATCACTATATTTTTCTTCACCGAAACGTTCGTGGTAAATTTTAAATTGAATTGCCGAGGTGTGGTAGTAATACTCTCTTCCATAGGCTAAGATGTCGTACAAATTTGAGGCTACATTGTTTCTTATCACGAGCAACAACACTGTATAAGGAGTATTAGAGTGAAATTGATCTAAATTTTACTTCCGTTTCTATGATAAAGAAAGTGATTTGAGAAGTTTATAGTTAAGTTTATAATGATTGTACTTTTGTGTAGTCCTGCTGTGCCCTCCTTTAAGTAATGGGACACTTAGTTTAAAACACTATGGTTTTAAATATTCCACGTCTCGGTTCCGTAAGTAATTTTTTATATAAAAAAGTTACAATTATTGTTAAAAGTATTCCACTACTTTATCATTATTATTGATACAAACATCGAAAACGAACTCGGACCAGTATTTGTTGTCTCACCGTAGCTATCGCTCATAGCACTAAGGGCGCGTTCCCATTATTTGGTAACGTTTTATTTATCGTTAGACGGTTGTCGCGTCTAACCTGTTCCCAAAACATGACTATCTGTCGTGACTGTATCGTGGACGTTTATTTATTTCTTTATTTTTTATTTTTAACGATTTAAAAGATTCAAAATATTCAAAAGATTCAAAAGACTCGAAAGACTCGAAAGACTCGTAAGACTCGAAAGACTCGAAAGACTCGAAAGACTCGAAAGACTCGAAA